AATTTCATATTAAATTTATATCATCAATGTCATGGCCACTAGAAAAGAGTCTTATCCAGAATAACCAGGATGATGATAATGAAATAAGACAATGTAATGGTTGCAGTGAAGATCTCTTAATAATCAAAGAATTTCTAAATCGTTTCAATTCTTCCCTTGATTGCTCCTTCTATAAAATGGAAGTTTTATACGTAATCAATAAAGTCCTTTCCAGCCTCCAAATATTCCTTGGGCAGTTCACTATAAGGGAGATAGCTCTGTTGGCTTTATCCTTAGCAACTTCCATGAATTTTTTGTGGATGTGGAGAGCTTTTGGATTTTCAGAAACCTAAAGTCATCTTTTTTTAAAGCCATAGATTGGCTGACATGTGGAAATGTGATTGAGAAAAGAGAGCAGACTGGTCTGCTTAAAACCCTGGCTCCTCCCTAAAAGGCAATATGACCAACTGGAGGACAGAAGACTGATGAGCACGAAATCTAAGCCCAGGCTGAGAGAGATTTCTGATTGCCTCTGTCAGTTTGGTTCTCCCTTTGCTTTCATTCTAACACCTAGCTGCAATTCCTACTCCCCATCCCACAGAGTTTTCATATCGAACCTTTTTTCTTTCTCCTGAATCAGGATTAACTTTCTGAAGGTTGAAAATCATAAAGCAAAAACTAATATGAAACAAGGAGGGACGAGGGAGCTGTATTCCCAGAACTGTAGAATTGAAAGGCACATTTTAATGCTCAAGCCTCAAAAGAAAGGCTGAACTACTGACTCCTCAGAGGATTGACGGGTTTGAACCACATACATTAGCACTTGCCTCCTCAGGCCGATCTGTTTGTTGGTTGCTATATGGATGGTAATAAAATACCTAGTTGGGTGGGGCCAAAAATTGTATTACACTCTTAGAGCACATCTGTGAATACTGGCCTCCTGAACAAATGACCATAGTTCACTAGGCTTCTGTGCTGTCAGAGGCTGCTTCCCAAATCCCAACTTTGAACCTAGCTCTGCCATATGGACACAGGGGGTCAATGAAAAATAGTGTCCGAGGGGCCCCCAAGCATGAGAAGGTCTGGCAAAAAGTGACAGGTTTTATCCAGGCTGCTGAAGAGAAATGTACTGAGACTGGAAAGACTAAGGAGGTGCACGCCTTCGGAACGTGTCTGTGGATCAAAATACACCCTAAGAGATTCTTGAGAGAGCCCCTGGCGGCCATGTTAACATTGGCATTGTTATCATTAAAAGGCTATGCTCATTTCTGGCACCTAACATCGGACACATTGACAGCAATGGGGTTGATGGAAGAGGAAAGAATTTGTTTTGCAGTAAAAAAAAGATTTTTTAAAAAAAAGCAGTTCTCAGATTTCTCAGGCCATTTGATATCACGCCAGAGAAATACTTGATTTCAGCATTCTTAAGCTCTCTGCAATGATGCTGCAAGTGGTGTCCCCCACGTGTGATGATGTATTTCGGGGCCAGAGTTTTCTCAAGACGTTCCAAGCATGCAAGCTCCTGATCCTTTTTCAAATTACAAAGATGATAGTATCCCAGGGAGGGTTGCGATTAGTCTAAACTCTCCACAGCTGTGAGAGATGAATGCACAAATTCCAATAAAGATTCTGCATGTTCTGGACTGAATTTACCTACATGACATCGAGGCCTAACTGAGGGACCACTTAAAAGAACCAGAGCTGCCTCAGTGCTATTCTGTGTCTGCCACAGCATCAGCTGCTGGGGGGCTGGCAATTGTTCTGGAAGGATGCCTCCCCTCACACCACCATCACTGCCCAGCAGTGGATGTTCATTTTAGAAGGTCTGGGATGCGTGGGAGTAAAGCAGAGCTGGGAAAATTGAACCCAAGTACATGGGAATTTAAAGAGGCCTTGCAATTCATCATGTGAATAGCCAGGAGGATTATAAAACACCTTGTAACTGAAGGGGTTGGCCTGGAGCTGTGTGGGACAACAGAACCAGCTGTATCACCACCCCTAACTCATTTAGAATGGTGCTAGCAAGAAGGCAGGCTCAGAGCTTTCTGCAGTTACTTGGAAAAGCCAACAGGGCTTTATTTTCTTATTCTGGACACTTTTTCCTAAAATACTCCCTTAGAATACAAAGTAACATAATAATACACAGCATGCTCCTTTTACCATGTTTAATAATTGTCTCATCTGAAAACACTTGGCTATTCTCCTTTATGAAACATCTGACACTAGGCGTGCTTTCCAAAACTGTGAAAGACTTAGGGGGACAAGGAATTTACTACACTGTCTACACATATTCGCAACTATAGAGATAATAAATAAGATTCCTCACCTTGGAAAACAAAACGAAAATACCAAAGGAATATATAATAGTATTTTTTTAAATCTTCTAATGTGATCTGCAGGAATGCAGAATCTTCCAAAGCTATGTATACACAATCATGTACATCCACCTCCATTGTTTACAGTCCACTAAAGCACACCTGGCATCACCTCCTGACATCTAGAGATTTTTAATACTCCACTATCTATCATTTTACAGCTTATCACATAGCCACACACATATGTGATACGTGACATTTCTCCTTGTAGACACTGAACTTGTTTTCTCTCTCTAAGGCAAACCAGAAAGACAATACCACTAATGTCAAGAGGCCCAGTGAAGAGTTGAATGAGCTGTAAGCAAAATTCTCAAAGCACCAACCCCTGGATGATCTATCTATACATGGTATTTTATTAAAATGAGGATGGGGGTGGAAGAAGAAGGAGACAAGCTCCAATATTTTCTTATAACCATACAAACAAAACACACAACTACAAGCATTTCTGCTTTTAACTTTTCACAGTCCGTCATGCAAACCTTCTACATGCAAATAGATTCCCTCAACTACTAGCCATACCACCTCAGATTTCACCATTTCTAAAGAAAAATCAAATTATTAATTTAAACCTGTTAAACTGGATGGTAACTATGCATTACTCCCCCTGGAACCCATGTTGCAAGGGCAACTTCAATATCAAATGGCTTATTCCTGTCTTTCTGCTGGAGGTCAGTTCAAAGTATAAATCACCCAGCAAGGCAACTTGGAGGGGAAAAAAAATAATAATATCTTTTTAAAATTGAGTAGGAAATCAGACAGTATGTCAGGATTCATATGGCTAAAACAAAGCTGCAGGCTAAAACAGAACAGCCCTACAGATAAGAAGAGTGTTGCCTTCCTGAGAATACTAAAGGTTGGTCTAATAGTAACATTAGTGGTTGCTGGTAGATGCTTGACAACCAGCTCATACGGAGAAAAAAACCATGTTTTGTAGCATTTGCAATGTCAACGAGAAAAAAAAACAAGTTTTGTAGCATTTGCAATGTCCCTGGTGTAAAAACACCCAGCAAGGCTGATTTCAAACTACCCAAGTGACATCCCTGAATGGGAAGTGAAGAAGAAATTCACAGTAACAACCCATTCTATAGTATTTCAGACACAATAGATATAACTAATCTCAGCATAAATTATAATAAAATGTGGGGAAATAACTAGACTACGGTGAATTTTGAGTATTAGTTTTGTTTTTAATGTCATTAGTTTAATTGTGAGTTTATATAATTTAGTTTAATTAATGGTTCCACTTAACAATTGGCTTCCAAAATGCATAAAAATGTAAAGCTGGGCTCTAGTGAGCAGGTACCATTGGTTCCAGCACACCACTGCACTTTGCTCTTCAGGGACATTAGACATTTTGAACATGCAACAAACCAAATAAACGAAGCTACTAAATCACTTGGATCAAACTATTTTCAGGGTTTCCAGGGCGGCCAACCTCTTCACTACCCCACTTTAGAAATACTCAAAGTTCAGGTTACACGGTTTGTAGTATTTACAGTAATATCATTAACACCACCTTGCATTTATATCACGCATTACACTTTTCAAAGTAGGAGTTTAGAGCGATGGGACAGTCTGATCCTGCCTAGTCAATTTAAATCGGTGGGTAATAATAGCATTTTAGTGCCTTGTCCACGAAAAGAGAGTCCTGGGAGCTGTTTGTCCAAAAGAGAGGCGGAGGGATGGAACTGAGAGCCAGGCAAAGAAACCTAGAGCTGGCCAGACACCCCTACGTTCCAGATTCCCTCCTGGAAATGGCTCCATTACTGAGAAAGCAAGTGTGCGGTAGTACCAGGCTTTCCTCCCTCCCTCCTGTTTTCTGACTCTAACTAGAAATCTGACTAGAACTGCTTTTGCTGATAGAAAAGAAAAGGATTGGGTTGGACAGTATATGCTCAAAGAGTATCTGGAAAAGCTAAAATTATTAGAGCTGTAACATTCAAATATGCTCTTAACTGACCGAACAGCTTTATAATGTTTTTCACCCCGTCAAAACATACCTGTTACGCCACGGACACTTGTGTGAAGAGTCTACATAGATCTCACTGCCAAAATTAACAGCAGCAGTAGTCGTGGCCGAGTGGTTAAGGCGATGGACTAGAAATCCATTGGGGTCTCCCCGCGCAGGTTCGAATCCTGCCGACTACGAAATCGGCTGCTTTTTGCAGCCGATACTTGCTTTCCTTTTGGAGAGTTCTCCCCAGCTTTTCCCGCAGATTATTTAAAGAATTTATGAACGCTTGGACTACAACGGGGACCCCAAGGGAGCCGTAAAAGGAGCGCATGAGGGAGCTACGGTATCGTGTGATTGTGGTTACAACCTGGGCCCAGGAGGGGGAGATGGGACAAAACACGCCAATCTGGAAAGAAGAAAAGCAAAGCGTCACGAGGTCACACAGAAAGGGACAGCTCCGACCTCTGGCCCCCGGGGTAGCCCAGCGCCACCAGAAGTCGCGGACCTCCGGCGTCCTTTGGCTCGAGCGCGTTAACCCCAAAGCCTCGCGGACGCCTGGGCCGTCTTGAGACGGCGAGCGCATGCGCGGGCGCGGGCGCGGGCGCGGGCGCGTCCGGCTGGTCCTCGCGTTGCCCCTGGAAACCACCCGGCGCTGCCGCGACGGGAACGGGAGAAAGACGTAACGTTTCAAGATGGCGAAGGACTTGGACGAGCTCTTGGATGAGGTCGAGTCCAAATTTTGCAGACCCGACCCCCCGAGACTGGGCATAGTGCAGCGGCCCAGAGCCTGCGGCGGCGGCATCCTCAGCAACGACCGGAACCGAGCCGAGGCGAAAGAGAATCTCAGGTTAACAGGCGGGAAGGGTGAGCTGTCCTGGTAAAGCCTGCTCCACGCCCTGAAGCCGCCCTCTGCCCACGATCTCCAGCTGCTGTCCCTAATCGGCCCCAGATCCTCAGCTCCCCATCCCCGGGATGGCGCACACCTCAACTCCCTGTCCAGGAGGATTTGAGCATCTCTTACCAAGGCCCAATTCAGCAACCCGGGCAAGCCCCAGTGAGCTAGCCCCGCCCGTGAGATCCCTCACCCAGAAGGAGCCCCGGGGGACCTAATGGAGGTGGGGAGAGAGAGGTGTAGCTTAGGGCCCTCCCCTGAGCCCCGAGAGGGCCTCTCTGACCAGCTCTGTCAGCCTGAGCGGTTCTCATCCCAGCCCCCCCCCCCCCACCCCCACCCCCGTGAGGTGTTCGTTCCCACAGAGAACCTCAGCCTATCGCCTCTGACCCAATTTCCCAGGCAGAATAATCTTTGGGCCGGTTGTTGGAGAAAACGATTCCGTTCTCTTCTGTGTCATCATTAGCTGCTGTGTTGTTGTTTTTTTTAAACTCAGAGAATTGAATAAGATTACATTTACGATAAATGGCTAATTATTGTGAACACTGTATTAATCCAACCACCTACCTTCTCCCTGTGGCCCTCAGTTAAGGTCCCAGGGAATCTCAGGCATCCAAATTGAAATTTGAGATTTTTTTTAAGTATTCTGGTTTTTGATCCAAAAAACTACCTCTCAAATTTGTTAATCTCTTTGATTCCGTATAATCGTAAAAGGACTTCCTTTTTCCTCATTTTCTCCTCAATCCCAAAAGGTCAAAATTGTTGCATCAGAATGAATATTGTCCTTCAAAGTGATGACTTGGGAGCCTCTGCAGTAACTCTGTTGGAAATGTTTGTGAAATTACACAAAGGCAGCTTTGGAACAACCCAAGAAAGTCATTCTTGTCAATTTATGCCTGCATCTGTGGTTTGGTATTGTTTGGTCTTGGTGTTCCTGGGCATGATTTCCCAGAAATATTTACCCAACAACACTGGTACCCAGTTTATCAGACTTAATCTCTAATGGCATTTGTTTATAAAAATTAACCTTTGGAAGATAAAAACATTGAGAAGATTCTGAAGTTCAGAAACGGAAGTTCTAAAAATTAGTTGAGTACTGGGCAGCATTCTAAAAATCAAGTGTAGAGCCAACTAAATGACTACTTTGAAGGGCTAATGCTTTCTTGACTGAATGTTTATGCAAATACCACTCTCATTAATTTGTATGTTATTGTCTTGTATGCTGGAGGTCCTTATGTACTCATTCCCAGTACATCCACTGTCCCCATCTCACAGCAGTGTTCCTTTGCAATTTCTTTTGTCCTTTTTATTCATTCCTTTCGGGATGGAGAGAATTTATCAAAGAGCCTTCCAAAGCCTGTTCATCTTAGGAGAACTAGTGTGCAGAGGGATAGGATGTCTTGGAGCAGGCTGTTCAAAATGGAAAGGGCTGCTAAGGTGGATCCTTTTCAAGAACAGGTCCTTTTATGCCTCTCTCCATAGCCAGTTATTGCACTACTTGAAATCCATCCATAATGTTTCTAGCATCTCACCCCACCTTACTACATGAGATTTTTCAGTAATACATTTATAAAAGCTGTAGCAAACCAGTATGTTGTTATTCATGTGTTAAAACTTTTCATTTGGTAATGGAGTTGTAAATTATGCAGAAAAACAGCAGCAAGGGCCCTAAACCTAATACCCAAATACAATCCCTATATATAATGTCAAATATAAAAATTTTATCATGAGCCAAAATTGATACTCAAAAATTGGAACCGATTTATATTATGAATTTATTAACAGGAGACTATCTGCCAATTGTATAGCAATGCAGCTGTTATCTCTTTCCCTTATAAGAGTTAAAATACTGAAGTTGTTTATTAAATGATAGGTCTGCAAGTAATAAAATAAATGACCATGCAACATCTGGATACCAGGAATGACTGCTAATGTAAGAGGTCAAAACATATACAAGTTGTTGAAGTGTTCAAAATGATAAAGAGAAGTACATGATTAGTTTAAAAAAAAACTGCTGTGAGTTGAACTGCAATAGGACTAAAGTGGTTCAGGATGGTAAAGATGGGAATATTTAGAGATAATATCTTAACCTCCTAGATAATAGTTATAATAATAGCCAACATTTATTGAGTCCTTTCTATATGCTAAGTGCTTTGTGTTATTTCATTTACTCTCCCCAACCCTATGACGTGAATCATATTATCCGCCTTTCACTGACCAAACTAAGACTTAGTAAAAGGGTTACTTGCCCAGGGTCATATTTCCAAGTCTACCAGGATATTGTAGATCTAGATTTAAGCTTTTATATATACCTTTCACATTTAATTGCAGGTTTCAACTGTTTAATTTTTTTTGTTTAGAGTATACCTTTTATTTTTGACAAAAACTATATTTTTAATCAAGATTACAATAAAAGAAGCGAAGTTGAAGGAGAAACCAATAAATGTTTATTAACCTTTGGTAAAGGTTACTGTATTATAAGGACACCTGGCTGGCTTAGTTGAAAAAGCATGCAACTCTTGATCTCGAGGTCGTGAGTTTGAGCCCCATGTTTGGTGTAGAGATTACTAAAAAAATAAACTTTAAAAAAGATTACTGTATTATAGCATCAAAAGATTAAAAGAGGGACGCCTGGGTGGCTCAGTCATTAAGCGTCTGCCTTTGGCTCAGGTCATGATCCCAGGATCCTGGGATCGAGCCTGCATCAGGCTCTCTGCTTAGCGGGAAGCCTGCTTCTCCCTCTCCTACTCCCCCTGCTTGTGTTCCCTCTCTCGCTGTCTCTCTCTCTCAGATAAATAAAATCTTTTTTAAAAAAGAATAAAATAAAGTATTATACAGTCCTTGAAAATTTGTATGCGGGGGGCACCTGGGTGGCTCAGTCGTTAAGCGTCTGCCTTCGGCTCAGGTCATGATCCCAGGGTCCTGGGATCGAGCCCACATCAGGCTCTCTGCTTAGCGGGAAGACTGCTTCTTCCCTCTCCCACTCCCCTTGCTTGTGTTCCCCTCTCACTATGTACCTCTCTGTCAAATAAAATCTTGAAAAAATAAAATAAAATAAAATTTGTATGCGGTCTCATTGAAATGATGGCATTTCTACAATAAAGCATAGGCAGTTGTATGCATCATGAAATTGTGTAACAGACCAGAATCTTAGTAAGTTTGGATCCGTAATAGTATTTATTGGTTTGATAAAGTTTGAGTGTATCTGATTCTTGAAATTGTGAAACTGCGTGAGGGACTAGAACCCAAACATGTTGTGAAAACTAAAGGAGGGGAGAATTTCAAGAGGACAACTTAGCAACCTGCTGTCATAAAAGAAATTGAAGGAATTGGTACCTAACAGTGTCAGGTATTTCTGAAAGATTAAAGGGGATACGAACTGAAAAGGGCCATTGAATTTAGTGATGTGGGCAGTATTGACCTTGGAGAGAAGAGTTTTACTGTAGTTGAGGGATACAGAGGCCAGAGATAGAATATTACACCTGGAAGAAGTTAAAAATAGTTGTCTAGATCCCCTTTTTACATTTAAAATATCTGAGGTTCAGAGAGATTAAAGAGTTTAAAGTAGGTCAGTAGTTCTCAACCAGTGAGGATTTTACCACTCAAGGGGCATTTGGCAATGTCTTGGCATTTTTAATTGTCACAACCGGGGAAGGGTATGTATGCATGCTACTGGCATCTAGTGGGTAGAAGTTAGGGATACCGGAAAGCATTGTACAATGCACAACAGCCCTACTTCTTCCACCATACACACACCAAAGAATGATGTGGCCCCAAATGTAAGTAGTGGTTGAGAAACCCTCATCCAGATCACCATCCAATACACTTGTAAGGAAGTAGATCGACTTCAGTAGTGAGTAAGAGGGGGCAGCTCAATAGAGTTTTTTGGAGTGTTTCCTTGAAGAGTAAGTCTTGTGCATACTTGTAAGTCAAGAGAACAAGCCAGTACTGGGTGGAAGACTTTAAGGATAAAAGTTAGAGTGGGAGCAACTGAAGAGGCAAAGCCTGGAGGTAGATGGAATCAGACATTTGGTATTAAGCAGCACTATCTGGTTTTTCTTACATTGGGTTAATTACTCCAAGCAGTAACAAAGGAGTATAATCCTCAAGAATTTTCAGAGTAAATACATTTCTAAAGTTAGAATCTGACTAAAAAACTTGTCTTCTAAAACAAATATTTTAATGGTCTAATGAAGTTATAAAGTTGATGTGAAGCATCTGTAACATATAAACTCTAAAAAGAGTTCATCTTGTTTAGTGTTAGGTGTCTGGACTGCCCTAGATTCAATTCCAAGCCTCCCCTGCCACTAGTTGTATGACCTTGGGCAAGTTTCTGAATCTCTCAGTCCCTGCTTCTTCATCTATATTGTAAGTATTCAGTAAATGTTAGCTATTAAATAGAGGTTTTGTGGAGTAACAGTTTGTATCAATAATTCCGTGATGGCTTTCCCTGCACAAAATAGAAAGGTAGTTGAGATACTCTGCTAAGTGAATATTGCTCTTTTTTTTTCTATATTGATCATTTGATTATATAACCTCCAGCTCCTGTAGTAAAAAGATACAATTATTTGACTTACAGTGGAACTCTTAGGGAGAAAATTAGAAAAGACTCATGAAAATTATATTTGTTTATAATTCTCAGGTTCTACTTATAATGGTACATATTTTTGTGTTCCTTAAATAAGTCCGTAATTTAGAAAGCGCATGCCCAGCTTTCTCTTGAATATAACGTATAGCTTTAAATGTATTTCTTTTTTTTTAAGATTTTATTTATTTATTTGACAGAGACAGCTAGAGAGGAAATACAAGCAGGGGGAGCGGGAGAGGGAGAAGCGGGCTCCTGGCTGGGCAGGGGGCCGGATGTGGAGCTCGATCCCAGGACCCTGGGATCATGACCTGAGCCGAAGGCAGACACTTAAAGACTGAGCCACCCAGGTGCCCCCTTAAATGTCTTATTTTAAGTGTGAAATAGTAACATACATATGTGAATTTGTACCTGATAAACTACATCTTTGTCTCAACAGTCTTCAACTATGTCCATAGAGGGAAAAAAATTAACATCACATTTATCCTTCTGTTATCAACTGCAATAATAGACTATTTAAGCAAAATTCTGATACTGACTTTATCTGTACTTAAGCAGCTGTTTTGTTTTCAGATCAGAAACATTTGAGAAAGAAGATGATCTTGACAGTCTTATTAATGAAATATTTGAAGAACCCAACTTTGACAAAAAAACCTTTGTAAGTTAAGTATTATAAATGTGCAGTAATTCTTTCATTATTTCAAAACAAGTTTAAAATAGTCTGAAAATGTATAGAATACACAAGTATCTAGTCCTTTGAATTCTGAAAAATACAATTGTTTTAAGGGAATTATTCCACTTAAGAGTTGTAGAAGAAATAAAGTATTAAAAACTCTCATGTGTTTTGCTGTTCGTTTCTTAGCAAGAATGAAAAATTAGAAAAGCTGTTAGAGCAGAAGTCAGCTCACAGATGAAGTTGGTTATTTTATTTGTATATTCTAAGAACACTTTTCTAAAAGACCAAAAACAGCTTTTATTATAGGAATGTGCTTGTTATCTCAGATGCAATGCCATTGCTGTTACCCATGAACCAGTGAGTAAATTGTTAGTATTTTAATGTTTAAATGCTTTTGTATCTATCAACTTTATAAAAAGCTCATAAAACAGTGTAACAGCCAACTGTATATTTACTGCCCATAGTGAACATATCTTAATGTTTTGTCATACTTGCTTCTCTGGATTTTTCTTTTAAAGAAATAGAAATTATAGATATAGTTTAAGAACTCTCCAAATCCTACTCTACTGCCTTCATTCACAGAGGTAACCTGTCCTTTCCATCCATACTTTTATATTTTAATTATACTTGTATAATCATAAACCATTTTAACTGACAATAGCCCATTATGTGACTTGCCACAGTTTATCCACTTCCCTGGTAATAAACATTTAGATTGTACCCAGGTGTTGCTTTTTATTTTTTTTTTAAGATTTTATTTATTTATTTGACAGAGAGCACAAACAGGGAGAGTGGCAGGCAGAGGGAGAGGGAGAAGCAGGCTCCCCACAGAGCAAGGGAGGCCCCGATGTGGGACTCGATCCGAGGACCCCGGGATCATGACCTGAGCAAAAGGCAGTCGCTTAACCAACTGAACCACCTAGATGCCCCCCAGTTGTTGCTTTTAAAAAATGTTTCATCGGATATTTTCACATCTTTTACCTACATAGAGGAGTTTCTCTAGGATGTGCAAACCTAGGGGAGGAATTGCTAGGTCATTAAGTGTGGTTTATCTTCCACTTTTCTACCCATTGCCAAAACGTTTTCCAGAGTGACTATATCATTTCTGTTCTTCGCACCATCAGTAGATGAAAATCTGTATACTTTAATTTTTACCAGTGTGGTGCATGTAAAATATATTTGTGAGATTTAAGAAGAGACCGAATGGAAGTCTATATTACAGAGACCACAAAGAAGAAAAAAAATCTAAGAATAAATATAATACCAAAGAGGTTTTTTTTAAAGGGGGAAGATTAAAGCTAGATAGACTAAAAATCATTAGGCAGCGGTGGTGGTAAGGATATGGATATGAGCCACTTTTATTTTTGTCAGCCAGACTAAAAATCAAATGACTGACACAGAGCTTAAGGTCTTTATTTCTCTAAATTTAACATTTTCAGTTCACAAGCAGATAGTAAATTAATAAGCTGATGGCCTAGTTGATTAACACAACATAGTAATAATAGTGTTGAATACTCTGCAAGCAAGAATGCATCATAAATGCTAAATAGCAATGCTAATTTAATTAATAGAGAAGACTACATGATCTTGTTATTCATGGATCATCTGAACAATTTGTTATTAAGTACTACAGGGTGTGTATCTATATGTGAGGCACTATCTCTTTAGTTAAAGACATTTCAGAAGGAGAAGGAAATATTTCTCTGCTTTAGCTTTAAAATACACTAATTTGAAATAAGAATAACTCCTACAATCATGAAGAGGTAAACGTCTATGTACTTCTGTATGCTCCCTTTTTTTAGTTACTATATCCATTCTCCAGACTGCAAGGGAAAAAACAACCTAAATAAATTTCTGGAGAAGAGCAGGTCTGTTTCAAACATGGATTGGGTGAGGAAAAGAGGTGTCTGTGAAGAGGTGTGCATGCCCACCTTGTCCAGACCAGATTATGCTCTTGAGAGTACTGCTTCCTCCCCCATCGCTCACACATTCATTCTGTTGAGTTTCTGAACTGCTCTCAGACCCACACAAGAAGGCCCAAGAATGACAACAAATGCCACAGTGTGCCAGCTTCAAGCCATAAGTGGATGGTACATGAACTACTTTTCTCAAAAAAAAAGATGCATGTCAGACATGCACCAAAAATTTTTCCAGTTCTGTTTAACATCAAGTAAGAAAGTTAAGAGAAATTGTAAAATGAAATATTTTTGCCTCCATTAAATTTCCTCACCTACAAGGTAAAATGAAGGCATGTCTCTGCATAGTTTAAATTGCCTTTTCTCCAACTTCCTTTCCTTGGCGGTGGTCCTAGTATGTGGTTGGTTTATGCTGTTTGGTACCATATACCAGTTAACACTTAATAAATGCTTACTAATGATGATGATGTTATGTAACCATACAGGAACTACTGTGTAGTTGTGACTAGGTAGGTCTACAATTTCCTTGAATGTCTATTGGTTGATACCATTTTATTTGATCAAAATTAATATTCCTGAAGTTACCCAGGAGTTTGGTTAGTTTATTTTTAGTTCAGGTGAGTACCATTCACAGCCTTTAAAAATGAGTCTGAGATTTTTTTCCTCAATTGAATTTTTCCAGGATGAAGTTTTAAATAGCAGATCCTTCATATTAAATCACTGAACGTGGTATTAACTGAAGAGTTATAAAGTGACTCTAAATCTTAGCATGCTAATAATGGCAGTATATCAGTTTCCTAGACTAAAAGTTAGCCAAGTAATTTACTAATTCCTCAGGGAGGTCTACTTCCCTTTTGCCTTTAAAAGGTTTTGATCATTGTTTTTATTTCAGAAACTTTAAAATGATACAGAATTTTTATTTAAGTCATTTAAAAAATATTCTTGTTATAAAATAAAGAATATTAGTTTTTATGTTAGAATTCTCTAAGTTACCCTTGGCCTTTTATTGTTTTATTTTTTTTTAACAGAAATTAAAATCTAAATCTTCAGGTAACACATCTGTCAAAGCTTCCATTCAAGGCCTTGGTAAAAGGTAAGTTGAGATGGCTTTAGTGAATTACACACACTAGTGAGCAAACACCATGAGCAAAGCGTTATAGATTTTGTTACCATTTAAACAACAGTGACATTGAACAACAAAGCACTGGTTGGCTTTCAGGAGAAAGACCAATAGCAATATCTTCAGTGTTCTTATGGTCTGTGACCCCTTGGTGTAAAAGAACTTGAAGATTATTGCTATTGTAAATAATTTTCTGCTGCATGAAAAAAAATAAGTGTGAACAGTTTCTCAAAATTAATGTTCTGTTATATTCTTCAGTGTTTACTTTGTCCCTTATATTATTTGGCAAATGCATTTTTTTGGTGACTCATTTTAACTCCTTGAGTGTTCCTGAATGTATAGGTTATATCCAATAAGGCAGGGATCTTGGAATAAATGCCTCTTCTTTGAAATAATTGGCCTGCTCAGGAAAATATACAATTTGATTGCAAGAATATAGAGTCAATGAGGCCAAATTAACTTCTAATATTTTTCTGTTGTTGTAATCTTTTTTCTTCCATCTATCGAACCTGTCTAGTTGCAGCCCAGTGTACCTCGGTGGAAGCACTGCTCCGTGTGGAATTGGAACAAGTACTTCACAGAGGTAGGATGTCAGAAATAGATTTTCTTGAGGCGCCTGGCCAGCTCAATCAGTTAAGTGTCCAACTTGATTTTCAGCTCAGGTCATGATTTCACGGTTGTGAGATCTGAGCCCCATGGCAGGCTCCGCTCTCAGCAGAGAGTCTGCTTGGGATTCTCTCTCTCTCTCTGTTCCTCTCCCTCTGCCCCTCCCCCTGCTTGTGCGTGTGTGCATACACACTCTCTCTTTCTCTCTCAATTAAATAAATCTTTTTTAAAAAAAAAGAAATAGATTATCTTTCTTATTAGGTTTTTCGCAGTTGATACCCTGTTGTTAAAATGTGGTTCTTGGCATCCATCTATGTCAAAATCAGAGGTGTATTTTATTAGCCAGTCTTAGAACACTGTACTGAAATGTTTCTTATTCTGGGCAATAGCTTTTGAAAGCTGTGATATTGGGTATGTGGTGTTCATTGTGTTGATGCCCATTTCTAAGCCCCACTTGAAATGCCTGGGTCACTCCAGTGCCAGCCTGCTTTCCACATGACGCCAAGAGAGTGAGCTTCGGCCTTGCCATTTTTGCCTTCTGGGCAGTAGAAGCCAGTGGAGAAGACAGGCGAAGCAATGTGGCCATGCGGACACGTGATGCATTACCCACCATCTTGGCCAGCATGAGAAAGCTGGGTCCTCAGTACCCAAAAAGTTCTCAAGCATAGTCACTTGATTTTACGTATTTAAAATGCAGAAATCCTCCATTCTTTGTCCCTTCCCCATCTCTTACACCCACTATCTAACTCATCACCCCTTTCAGGGCAGTCTTGTGGTCACGATACCACCTACTCCATACTGCTAGCATATTCCATTATCATTGTCATAATGTGGGGAAATAGATTGGTTTTAAGCATATCTTTCTGTTGTCCTGATACTGTTGATTCTATTTTTGCAGAGGCCTATTTGCCTAGATTATTATATTTTGTCTAGTTATTTCTAAAACACTTTTTTACTTTCTGTTAATTTTTTAAGAAAGAGAAGAATGAGATACATGATTGCATGTTGACCATGTTTTAGGAGGAATAACGATTATACTGAATAATAGAAGTAGGATCTAAAAAGACATTGTTGGAGGGTTGTGGTGGTGCTGGCCTAGATCCTGGGAAGCCTAGGAAGAAAGGCTATGGGACCAAAGGAAAGTTGAGAGTCTGGGGAAGCCTGTATCGGGAACACCAGGCAGCAGACAGGCTAACAGAAGCCCACTGGGGTGCTGCCTCCTGTAAGGGCTGTAAGTAACAATTGACGGCACTTGAATCATTGTATGTTGAGGGCTAGCTATACAAAGAATCAGAGACACAAACTGGCCCTTAGAGAAGAGTATAGTCAGGTTGCTGTCAATCCTGACTTACCTGGGTAGAGTCACTGGGACTCGTCTCCATGTTTCCAGACCATACCCCCTCCAATCCCAGGTTCTTTCCAATCACCTAGGAACTACGCCAGTTTCCCTGTTACCATCCACTTCCTTCTCTCGCTTCACCCACATACAGCCTGAAGGATAATATCCCTAACTTATTCTTCTGAGCACCCTCCCCTGTTCAGAGGGAAAATGAGAGTTGCTATTTGTCTCACATTAACTCTAGGGTTATTTGCTTTACCAAATGGTGTTCTTTCTCTTCTTGGTCCCTTCACCTCCAGTGAAAACCCGGGTCAGATAGTCCACTTCCAACTAGAACATTTGTTATCCCCTACTTTCCACTTACATCTTTCTGCTTCTGAGTATTTTTACATTTATTCCCTGTCTGGAATGACCCTCCTCTCTAATGTGTGTCCTTACTGTCTTATCTGCTTATCTACAAATTTATTTTGTCATTCTGTTTGAGCTTCTTTTTTCTTTTCTTTTTATAATATTCATTGAATGTCCGGCATGTCCTAGGCCCTGCGCTAAATACTAGATACCAAAAATAAATAAATGAATAAATAAAACCCTAGCCAGGAGAGGAAGTGGTAAAGAGGTGAATGATGACACCCTAGAGCATGAACAGAAAGAGTTCTGATGGCAGAATGCCTGAGTTCAGATCTTTCATTGTGCCCCTTATGAGGAGATGTGAAGCCTTTAGAGAAGGGATATATCTTCTGAAACTGGTTACCTCACCCGTAAAAACTGAACACACTCCACAGAGATACTGGGAGGGTTAAATGGAATAATATATTATAGTATGCCTGTGGTGCAAAAGACAGCGAAGATAGTTTGAGTAATAGTTTGCAGTTATTCGTGTGTCTTTTCTCATCTGCAGTGCTGCCTTCTCATTGTGTTCTCTTTCAGTGCCCGGAATCCTATATTCTCCTACTACTTTTCCATTTTATCTCAGGAAATATGTATCCGTGTTTACTTACACGGGTCTTCTAATTTTTAAAATGGTCTCAGGGCACCTGGGTGGCTCAGTCAGTTAAGCATCCAACTCTTGATTTCTGCTTAGGTCATGATCTCAGGGTCGTGAGATTGAGCCCTGCATTGGGCTCCATGCCGGGCCAAGGAGCCTGCTTAAGATCTCTCCCTCTCCCTCTGCCCCCGCCTTACATGCACTCACTCTCTCTCAGTCTCTCTCTCAAAAAATAAAAATAATAAATAAATAAAAATGGTCTCTAAGACGATCCATTCTGGTTTACTTTAAAAGAGTAAATATTTCATGAGGATTTTCCTTTATATAGTATTTTTACATGTACTTTGATTTGGTTCTAGCACAGAAGAATCTTGGTCCAGATGGAATTTAAGTGGACAAAAGAATGGCCTATTTTTATTTTTTTTATTTTTTTTTTAAAGATTTTATTTATTCATCAGAGACAGAGAGAGAGGCAGAGGGAGAAGCAGGCTCCCCACTGAGCAGGGAGCCCGATGCAGGACTCGATCCCAGGACCCTGGGATCATGACCTGAGCCGAAGGCAGACACTTAACCATCTGAGCCACCCAGGCGCCCAGAAATGACCTATTTTTATAGCTTGAGGATCCTTTCACACAATATTGATCCATGAGCATGCCAGTATCCATCAAACTCCTTCCTACTTTCTGCACAGCTACAAGACAAAAAAACACATACTGTTTGCATATATATGCATAGGTAAATGTGTATATTCATGGGTCTTTTCTTCCACCCCATTACAAAAATACCCTTATGGACCAACCTCTTCCTAACACAGATCTGCACCCACAGAAAGATAAGCTTATACTTGTTCACGTGCACGTAAAACATTTTATGTGTGAAGTACTTTATACTGTCCAGAGCACTTTTTTATATATGCTTATCAGTTTAGCTCCACAGGAAAAAAAAAAAAAAAACAAGACAAATAGGGAAAGACTTTTTTTTTTTTTAAGATTTTATTTATTTATTTGATAGAGAGACAAGCGAGAGAGGGAATACAAGCAGAGGGTGTGGGAGAGGGAAAAGCAGGCCTCCCACTGAGCAGGGAGCCCAATGCAGGGCTCGATCCCAGGACCCTGGGATCATGACCTGAGCCGAAGGCAGACACTTAACAACTGAGCCACGCAGGTGCCCCTTGGAGCAAGACTTTTTAACCCCATTTTATAAATGAGGAAATTGAGACACTGGTGTTAAATTCACTGAACACATATTAATTAACCACCTGCTTGCTAGGTCCTACATAATACATAATGTGAAGGGAAAGTGCAGGGTATGATAAGCATAGATAACTAGCACCCCAGCTAATATGAAGGGCTAGAGAATGCTTTCCTAAGCAAATAACATTTAATCAGATTACAGTATGAAAAATGAGTTAGCAAAGAGAGGAGACCATTAGAGCCAGAGGGCACACAGTGTTAGATGATCCCTGAGCCGGAGTAGCAGAGGGCAGGCAGATGAGCTGCAACATAGTGAGTGGGGGAAAGAATGGCTCTTGATGGGGCTGGAGAGGTAGTCGAGGCACATTTGGTTTGAGGTCCTGTAGTCCCCTGGAAGATTTTAGGAAAAGTGTGTCATATGCAGTGAAAGTCTTTAGTTGTTTTGGGGGGTTTTTTGGTTTTTGTTTTTCACAGATGTGGTGACAATCGTATTTGTGTTTCTAAAGAAAGTCATTTTGGCTGCTGAATGGAAAATGGTTTGGAAGTTGGAGGGGCAAGACAGGAGAGGACACAGGGAGAACAGTCAGCAGGTAGTAGTTACAGTGCTCCAGGAAAGAGACGGGGATGGTAGCTGTGACCTGAGTAGTGACAGTAGCTGTAGGGAAAAGGTGTCATATTTGTGCCATTTAGAATCTAGAATTGACAGAACTCAGTGTTTAAATGGCTATGGGAAGTAAACGAGAATGTTCTCAAGAATGACTTCCAAGTAATGTGCCTTGCCAAGATCACATAAGTTATTACAAACCAAGGACTCAAATATGTACTTGTTCCTGGTCCATTATCCTTTCTAGTATACTAGTTTACAGAAGGCCATGTAATGTATGCAAGAGGGAAGAAATTTAGCTGTTTTTGCTATTGTGGCTACTGTTATTTTCCAACTGTCCAAACAGCAAGGCTTCCTAGGCCACTGTGTAGATCTGACAGGATTTAACTGAGAACCAGAGTCTGGGCAGAAGACTATATTGGGCTGTATTTTGGGCATTCCCATCAGGAACACCTTAAAAATAGTAAAAAGTTGTTATGTATTAGCTGGACAAAAGGACAGAGCTGTTGGTGACACCTTTATATTTGTACTCCCTCCACATTTTGGAAGAGAATCCTGACAATTTATCTTTCATTAGAATCATGCCTTTTTTTAGACATCCTCTTATATGTTTATATTGTTATGGAAGAGAAATATATTTAAGTCCTGAAAATAAGCACTAATTTACATGCCCAGGCCATAAAGGAAATTGAGTCTCTTCTGCCTATTTTCCATGTGTTTTATTTGTTTGATTTCTAGATAAAGCTCTGGTTTGGGAGTACTGCTGAATGATTTTAGAGTGTAAAGATTTGAGTCTTTTACCCAGTTGGTGGAAAGGAGAAAGAGTAGTAGCAGGAAGCATGGTGGCATTAATAAGGTATAGATAAAATCAAGGCATTATTTTCAAGCCAAATCGAATTTTACTCTCCTATTTTTTTAAACTACTTCTAAGACTGGATTATTCCATAGACTGCTACTAATTATGATCCAATAGAGTGAATCGTAGCAGCAGAATGATTTCTTAGCTGCAAGTTAGTTTTATTTTTCTCACAGGGCAGTGTTTGTAGGAAAATGTGGTAGTGTGAATAGATTTGAATAAACTACTAAATTTTAAATTAAATTAAAAAGCTGTATTTAACATTACGGTTGAGATTTTACACATACACAACGTCAGGAAATTCTAAATTATAGTTCCCACAACAGCAGTAATTTAGCCAAATTGCACATATGTATTAAGGCATTAAAGTTAACACTCTCTGCAATCATGTAATAAACTACATATGCATAAGAAAGCAAGTTTTGGCAGCTTTGGGAACCATCATTTTGCATTTCCTGACTTATACATTCAAAATTCAAATTCAAATGTATACAAATGTAATTGTGTTGAATTGCCATATGTACAAATACAACTCTATAAATTGCTAACAGTTTGAAAGAAAATATGGAATTGTTTATGAAACTGGTATAAATTTTGAGTGCTTAGTTATTTTATGATTAATAATAATTTTTTTTTTAAAGATTTTATTTATTTATTCATGAGAGAGAGAGAGGCAGAGGGAGAAGCAGGCTCCCAAGGAGCAGGGAGCCCGATGAGGGACTCGATCCCAGGACCCTGGGATCATGACCCGAGCCGAAGGCAGACGCTCAACCATCTGAGCCACCCAGGCGCCCGGTTAATAATAATTTTTAAAATAAAAAGCACTTATTTTCAAAGAAATTTTCAGGCCAAAAATATTTGCAATTTTGAAGTTACCGTATCTGAATTTTAGAGGGAAATAAGTGGAAAAAAAATCTAATGATGGGGTTTTTTAATTATTTTTTATTGCAGAAGTATTGAATGCTTATTTTAAAAATAAAACAGTTTAAAAATGTATAAAGAAAAAGATAATAATCTTCTCTCTCCTCCATTTCCACTACCCCTGAGGCAGCCAGTGTTAACTGTATAGTGTATAACCTTCCACATTTTTCCCCCATGTTCTTACAAACACCTATACAGGAAATTTTTTTGGTTGTTTTTAACAAAAATAGGCTCCTACTATATATGTTAACTGTGTACCTTGCTTTGGACATCCTCTAGGTCAGTAGATAAATCTAATTCTCTTTATTGACTACCTAATATTCCATGTATATTGCATATTATTCAGTCTTTTCCCTTTATAGTAGGTATCCAAGTGGTATCCTGGTTTTTGCCACTTTAGCAATTTTGCAGTACAGTAAAAATTCTTGAGATAAATGGCTTATAGACTGATGTTTTTGTTTTGTTTTTTTTAAGATTTTATTTATTTATTCATGAGAGACACAGAGAGAGAGAGAGACAGAGGGAGAAGCAGGCTCCCAAGGAGCAGGGAGCCCGATGCAGGACTCGATCCAAGGATCCTGGGATCGTGACCTGAGCTGAAGGCAGACGCTTAACCATCTGAGCCACCTAGGCGCCCTGATGTTTTCATTTATATGTAATAGGTTCCCAAAAATGGGGTTGCTAGAGCAACAGCTAAGGATAATTTTAATTTTAAAATAGTGCTAAGGTTTTTCCCAAAAGGTTATAGGAATTCACATACCCACCAGGAATGTCTGAGAGCGCTAATTTTTGCTAACTTAATTGGTTAAAACATTTATTTTGTGGTTGCTTTAAATTTAATTATATTTTATTTTAACTAACAAACCCTGTGCCAGGCACTGTTACAAGCACCTTACCAATGTTAACTTACTAGTTCCGCCTAACAATTCTATGAGGTATATAAGTATTATTGTTACCCATTTTACAGATGGGGAAATTGAGTCACAGCAAAGTTATTTGACTATAGTTACACAGCTGGTAAATAGTGGAATACATTTGAACCTAGGCAATCTGTCTCCACAGTATGTGCTCTTAACTACTATTCTGTGATGCCTGTATTAGAGAGATCTAATATATTTTTAAGTTTTGTTGTTATTTGTAAGCACTCCTTGTATAGTGTAAGTATTTGATGTGTGTTGAAAACATTTTCTTCCACTCTATCACTGACTGGTCATTTCTCTTTATTTTTGGTATCTTAAAATCTCTTATGGGGGCGGCTGGGTGGCTCAATTAAGGATCTGACTCTTCGTTTCAGCTCAGGTCATGATTTCATGGTTCGTGAAATTGAGCCCCACATCAGGCTCTGCGCTCAGTGGGGGGTCTGCTTGAAGGTTTTCTGCCCCTACTACCCCTACAGGTGCGCGTGCGCAGGTGCACACTCTCTCCAAAATAAATCTTTTAAAAAAAATCCCTTCTCCCTTTTAATTTTTAGATAGTCAAATGTATATCTATATTGATTCTAGTTTTTAATTACTTCAGACAATGGAAGAAGTTTCTTCTTTTTAATGTAAATCACAATTATTATATAAATCAAATTGTTTGCAACAGCAGTTCATAAGTATTTCTATATATTGTTATTTTACTCCTAAATTTACTATGTAGCATATGAGTTTTGAGAATTGCATGGCATTTCATTTCCTCACATATTCAGTAAGGACCTATTACGTGCTAAGTGTCATTCCAGTACTTCTACCCCTTTCTCCTGTATCATCAGTGTTTTGGTTTTCACTGCAGCTTTGCCATCAACATAAAAATATGCTTTTTTTCCCTCCCTTCTTAAATATAATCTCTTAACCCCTGTTCTTAACCACCTCTCACTCCATTTAAAGAACCTGCTCAGATGTATGTACCTTCTCAGTGAGGCCTGTGCAGACTACTCTACCTAACGAATTGCAATCCACTCTTTCCCGATACTCCCAATTTTATTTACCCTACTTATCATTTCGAAAATTGGAAGCACTTTTCACCTTCTTTTTTTTAAAGATTTTATTCATTTATTTGAGAGAGAGAGAGTGAGCACAAGGAGGGGGAGCAGCAGGCCGAGGGAGAGGAAGAAGCAGGCTCCCTGCTGAGCAGGGAGCCCCATGTGGGACTCGATCCCAGGACCCTGGGATCATGACCTGAGCCAAAGGCAGACGCTTAACCAACTGAGCCACCCAGGCGCCCCACTTTTCACCTTCTAACAAACTATATAATTTAGTTATGAGGATTATTTCTTCTCATTAGAATACAAGCTCCATGAGGACAGAAACTCACCAGCACATAGTATGCTTTCAGGAAATATCTTTTAAGTGAGTGAATGAATGCGTTAATGCCGTATACTGGGGAAGCAGAAGCAAATAAGATACTGTCCCAATATTTAAGTAGCTTATGCAGAAAGTTTCATTTCCACATGATGTGGCAAATTCTGTGATAGAGGCACCCCTGAAATTTTCAATAGGAAGGGAAGCAACTTAAAGAAGTTATCTTAAGTGAAGATCTCCCTCAGACCCAATTTGAAAACCATTGAACTAAAAGATCTGCCCATCCCTTTGTTTTATATCTATATGATATGCATGTGTGCATATGTGTATATATACATATCAGTGTGTAAAATAGGAAGCTTTATACAAAAACTTAGCCTGGAAGTTTGTGCAGAAATTTAACCTGAAAATTTTTACCTAAAGATATATAATCCTTTCATACAAAAATGTCATTTATTCAGTAATCTGTAATATGTGGTGTATCCTATGAATAAATCACCAGATTTCCATATTGAAACATACCAGTAATCTTTAATGCACTGTTGTTTTTCTCTGAACAGAGCATGTGATCATCTGCGCTGTACAGCATGTGATTTCTGGGTGGTGAGCTATGACGACTATATGTGGGACAAATCCTGCGATTATCTGTTTTTCAGGTATGTTTCCAAAGAACTTCACCCTGTGAAAAAACGTACCAAGCAATAACTTTATATTTCTTACTTTGCTATAATGTCTCTTGGTGGACTTGGCAAGATCTTGTGGCCTCCACCTCTTGCATATTTCTGTCGTCTCCTCTTCTCCATCTGTCTGCTGTCAGCCTGTGAGGATATGTGACTTCCAGACAGGAGTATAGTAATAGCCTGCTCGCTGATTTTTCTGCCTACAGTCACTTCTTTCAGACCACCCTTTTCTTGCTGAGAATTAACGCATAACTCTGTGTGTGCCACGCTCTTGCCCAAAACTCTTCTGCATGTGGAGTCATGTCCAGGTTCCTTAGTGCAGCATTCAAGACCCTTCACCATCCAGCCCCCATCTGTCTGTCACCCAGCGTGTCCTTCCACAGTTTACTTTTTACTATGTTATGTTAATCACCATACATTACATCATTAGTTTTGGATGTAGTGTTCCATGATTCATTGTTTGTGCATAACACCCAGTGCTCCACACAGAACGTGCCCTCTTTAATACCCGTCACCAGGCTGACCCATCCCCCCACCCCCCTCCCCTCTAGAACCCTCAGTTTGTTTCTCAGAGTCCATAGTCTCTCATGATTCGTCTCCCCCTCTGATTTCCCCCCTTCATTCATCGTCACAAGATTATAGCTGCATCCAAGTACTCAGTACTACCGCCATTCCCTGTGATAATGCAGGCTCTTCCCTTCCTGGTGCAGCCTTCCCACCATCCCACCCTTTATTTACCTAAATCTGACCTGTCCCTAAGGGTACAGTTCATTGCACATCCTTCATGATTCCCTCACCCCTCCGTCAACTTGGAAGTAAATCCATCTTTTCCTATTAGTCCACAGCACTTCGTACCTATTCTAGCACTCCCTGGAATAGAAGATTGAAAATCTTCGGTTGGTATACATCTGCCTCTCTCCTTGGGGTCAGGGTAGTGTCTGACTCATGTTTTTGCAGTTTATACATTCTTATACACTTAAGCCATACCTAATGTTTTTAAGATATTGTAAGTTATAAAAATGTATCTGAATTATACATCACGTGGGGCACCTGGGTGGCTCAGTTGGTTAAGCATCTGACCCTTGATTTCAGCTCAGATCTTGATCTCAGGGTCCTAAGTTCAAGCCCCGCATTGGGCTCTGTGCTGGGCATGGAGCCTGCTTAACAAACTAACTAACTAGGGCGCCTGGGTGGCTCAGTCGTTTAAGCGTCTGCCTTCGGCTCAGGTCATGATCCCAGGGTCCTGGGATCGAGTCCCACATCGGGCTCCCTGCTCAGCGGGAAGCCTGCTTCTCCCTCTCCCACTCCCCCTGCTAGTGTTCCTGCTCTCGCTGTGTCTCTCTCTGTCAAATAAATAAATAAAATCTTTAAAAAAAATTTTAAAAAAAACTAAATAAATAAATAAATAAATAAAATTAGGCTGTGAATTATACATTACATTTTCAAATAAAAATTAAGCGCTAAAAATTAATCATACATTTTTATCCCCCACCCCAAGCCTGGGCCTAAACAAGAATTATATTTTCTGACACAAGTAATCAGAAGATATTCTATCTCTCTTTAATAGAAAAAGAAAAAGGTGAAAGTCTTTCTTCCACACCTCTTCTGGCAGCCATTCTCCTGTAAATCCATAGGAGTCTCCTCTACTTGAATTGTTTTTTAAATTCTTCCACATCAAACCACTTTGAAAATCTTATGAAAACTTTGAATCCTCTCTACACATACACAAAAGTTCAAATACACAAATTCATGGAAAAATTACAATTTGAGAGGTTTCACATTTCCCTACCCAAATGAAGCCTAGTGCAGTCCCAAAATCCCTGATCAGGTTAGCCCACTTTTAATCCCAGAGTTGGAAAAGTTAACTTTTAATTTCAGGTCTATGTTGCCATTTCTGACTTTTCTCAGTCCTCTGCTCTGGTTAATGTAATGAGTGGTCAGTAATCCCCCTATGTCACCGATATGAACCATCAATTTTTAGAAAACTAGTATAGTTTTCTATAGAATGCATGTAGTGAGCTCTCTGTGACTGTTGAAGGAGGTAAAATAGTGATGTATTCAGGGGAAAGCTAGGAAATGGAAGATTTTCACATCTGATAGCATGGCTGTGTGAATGAGGATGTGAGCTGCTGAAAGTAAAGGAGCAGGGAGAAGATGAAACACTTGAGGAGGGTGGGGAGTAATAGCCGAAGGAAAGCACAAGTAGGTGGTCACCAAAGAAGGCAAGTCAAAAGACTTTCAGGGTGCCATTGATTGTCTGGCAGAACATGGGGAGCCGGGCGCCTGGGTGGCTCAGTCGTTACAGGTCATGATCCCAGGGTCCTGGGATCGAGTCCCACATCGGGCTCCCTGCTCCGCGGGAAGCCTGCTTCTCCCTCTTCCACTCCCCCTGCTTGTGTTCCTGCTCTCGCTGTGTCTCTCTCTGTCAAATAAATAAATAAAATCTTTAAAAAGAACATGGGGAGCCATTTATTTTTAGTGGTATCAGTCTGCACTTTGGCTTGTTTTATTGTCCTTATCTTATAAATGAGGGAAATGTGTATCCTAACTTTGACAAGTTCTAGAATTTTCAAAAAGAAGTATAAGCTATACTTGATCATCCTGCCATAGTAGCTAAATAAGATGCTTTTATTTTCCTACTAAATCATTTTGTTTATGGAAAATTATTTTTCTAAGCTTTTAAGATATGTGCTTCCTAAAAACAATTCAAAATGCATTAATTAGTTGCCTGGCTATTCATGATTCCTACTCATAAAATCTCTAAGGATTCGGTCAAGTATCAAATGTTAAATTTGTCACGATATATGGCAGATTGAATAAAGAACAATTTAGTATTCATTTTGTGGAGTTTTTTTCTTTCTGATAAAACTTAGATGATCCATCTCTTCCCCTGGTTTACTGAAATCAAACAGTTGGCCTGGAAAATCTTCTAGGTTTTGTTAGGTTCAAACCTAAATTATGGGGGGATTTTGTAGAAACAGTACTGAGTGTGGTGCCCATTGGCCACCAGAGGGCACTTTGTAGCCTGCCTTCTGTTGCAGTGACAGCACTTTGTGTCTCTTTTTTTAATATTCATACTGTATTTCATCATTTTACTTTGTATTTTTTCATCATTTCATTTTGAATTTTTCACTTTTTTTCCTGTCACAGAACAGTTACATAAATTCAGTACATGGATTATCATGAAAATCATAATTGATTTTCAGTTCATTAAACTTAAATTAACTTCTCTAGTCTTTTTTTATAGTAGCATCAAGTCAGATGGTTATCATTTTTTATGATGGTCCTGCCCATTGATTTAATTTTTTTTTAAAGATTTTATTTATTTAATAGAGAGAGAGAGAGGGAACACAAGCAGGGGGAGTGGGAAAGGGAGAAGCAGGCCTCCCGCCGAGCAGGGAGCCCGATGCAGGGCTCGATCCCAGGACCCTGGGATCATGACCTGAGCCGAAGGCAGTCGCTTAACCAACTGAGCCACCCAGGCGCCCCTGATTTAATTATTTTAACATTATTGACATTTAACGCAGGATAGACATTTATTCTGTTGCTAATAGTATATCTTGCCGATAAATATATCATTGAAACAAATGAAAGATACAATATTAGTTCAACAAATAGAAATAACAGGCACTTTTTCTCTATTTAATGAAAAATGCTATAGTTAACCCATCAGAAGCCTATTTATGCCTCTTATATGCCCTCCATTGGCCATATTGCGGGCTTTTAGAATATGGTATAGGTGAGTATCTGAGGTAGGAAATGTACCACCGTACCTCTCAGTCTCTTCTCATATCATGTCATCTCTGATAGGACAAATCAATAATTCTTCATTCAGCCTTTTAGTTCATTGTGTTCTATTACGACAGCTTTAATAAACAGGCCTAGAGGATTGCCATTCAAAAGCACTGGATACCATGGAAATACCATCAGAAAGAACACAGAAGCCTATCTTCTGTTGTTTGGGTGAGAAGACCAAGGTTGTTTAGTGTTCAGATGTTGTAAAGATAGGAAAATAAAGCAATGAGAAATTTTTTTTAAGTCATTCAGCTCTGAGCAAAGCCACTGTGCTAAAATCTTCATTTTTTATTAACAGGAACAACATGCCAGAGTTCCACAAATTAAGAACAAAGTTGGTAAAGAAGAAAGGAACACGGGCATATGCCTGCCAGTGTAGCTGGAGAACTATTGAAGATCTGACTGACCTTCAGACTGATCATCAGCTTCGTTGGGTTTGTGGTAAACATTAAGAATGCAGACTTTTCGTATTCAGACAAATGCATACAATGAGAGCAGTCTCCAGTAATCATCAACATATTTAGATAAAGGTACAAAGCATTATCATGCCCTTTGGAAAAAGACAGGAAATTTCATTTAATGACTATATAGTATAGATTTTCAGAGACCTAATGGACTTGAGAAGATAATGTGCTTTAACATTTTGGAATTATCTCTTTTTGATACATGGGCATTTCACTTAGTAAGTAAGGTAGCAAGTTATCCTAATTCTTTGCTAGCCTGTCTCCTGTTAAATGGAAGTTTTATTATGGAGTTTCATACAAATATATAGCCATTCATTAGCAACTGCAATATTAATCACTGCTAATACTCTTAGCTAAATATTCCTCATTTACAACATTTAAAGGGGATAAAGCCAACCAGTGCAGAGAGGTCACTGGGAGGTGTATACAGCATCTCCTCTGGTCAGATCTGTTGTTGCCAAAGATCAGAATTTAGACATGGCAGAAACCATGTGATCAGTGGCTAACTGAAGGATTTTGGGGAGCACAGGTTTATTGTAAATGAAAACACTGCCTATGTTGACCTTACATCAGTAACTCCAAATGATATTATGCACAATAATGATAAGTATATATTCTAGTTTTAGCTTATTTCTTCTCCTTATGTTCATTTAGATATCAAAAGTTAGTTTGCTAGTTTAGTAAATATTCATTTATATATAAAAAAAATTTGTTGGCGTACCTATAATCATAAGGAAAAATCTTAATATGGATAGATCATTATTGGATTTTTTCCAAGTAGTTCTCTAGCCTTCAGTGCCTAAAATTCCATCAAGTGAACAGCAAGTAAAATATTTTCTCAGGCAGCCTGTTGATCTTCTGGTAGGATCAGATTGACATGTTGATTGTTAGATGAGTGCATGAGAAAAAAAATAAAGCATCGTGGAAGCAACAGGTAATCTGTTGTGCTCCTCCTTGACATCTCTGAGGCTGGAGGAACCCTACAATAGCAGCACATTCAGGAAATCAGTTACCTCAAAATTATCAGTTCCCAGCACCATGGAAAAATTCTGGGGGCTTTCCAATCTGCCATAAGCTCTTTATTGCTTGTGTCTAAGATATAGTTCAAATGTATGACACAAGGCATGCTGAAAGGGAGTAACTGAAGCAAAGCTGTGATTGCTTAGTCTTATGCTGAATCCATTCCAGTCACACCACTCAAATAAGAAGAAAGACTGGCCATTAAAATCCTTTTCCTAGCCGTGACACATTTGCTTACCTGTAAAACTGACTGTAGTAAGTCTAGCATTGCAACAAAACCCATAGTGAACTCACAGTGGCAGATGCTTACATTTTTGTATTGACAATGTTTACAGATTTTATCTTTGAATAAAAATGTTTTACTCCCTAAAATTTTATCTCTGTGTAATTGTATGAGAAACAAGGGGATTTGATTGAGAAACCATAAGTCACATGGTGATGTTTTCTCTTTATTCAAATGAGCAAATTTACTAAATCATTAATTTGAAAATATGTTTTTCTCTTTTATTATTTCATTACTACCCTATATCTTGGATACATTACTCATGTTTGGCATTCCGTAACATAATTCCCCAGTGTCAGAAATGTACGTATGAGTTCACATTTTTGTTAGCAATTTACAAGCTTTTTAATATTGTACAATTTTTAATCTAAAATGTAGAAAGAATATTATGTTTATATACAAGTGAATAAACTATTACCAGTGGAAATTTAAGCCAAAATGCAACTATTTTAGTAACAAAGCAGAAGAAAATCATAGTTTCTGATGAGCTATAATTTTAAAATGCAAAGTCTATAAAACTTTCAAGATGTTTTGCCTATTTGTTTTTAATATTTATAATAATTTTCTACTTTAGCAATTATCTATTTTTTGTCAAGCCAGGTAGCTCCTTTCTTTGAGCTATATTATACTCCCAGACCCTTATCCTGCCTAGAAATGAATAAATAATAAATAGCTTTATTCTGTGTTTAGTTACTTTTTTATTTTTATAGTAAAATGTTCTTATGGGGATTAGTTTGAAATAATTTTGGTAATTTCTTTTAAAATGTCAACAAAAGAGTTTCAGACCATCCAGTTGAACAGAGAATTTATTTATTTACATTGGAGAGGAGAAACATGCCATAAGTTTAAGTGTGTGTGTACATGCATGTATAAAAGAGCATTGGCATTTTTTTTCCAAATATATAGAGTTTTATTTCACAAGACCAATTTTCTTCTGTTTCATATGTCAATAATCTCCACATTTTGACTATAAGAACTTCTGCTTTATCAAGTACCATGGCAACATCATCTAAAATAATTTGAAGTGAACTGTGAGCAATAACCTTAGAACACATGAGATCAACGAATGTAGCTCCTTTTTCACCTGTGTATTCTATGATTTTCTTATGAATCCATGTTCTAGTCCATCATTCTGTCAATTAGACCAATCCAGGAGATAAGCAAAGAGCTTGGGTTTGGCTGTAGGGATTTTCTCCATGAGACTCTTAACTGTTTATGCTTCTCTTCAGTGTTTACAGTGCCTTTGGCAGCGTTTCATCATCCTCACAGTAATCCAGGGGAATCAGTTTCCTTTTTCATGGTGTATCATCACTGCTTCATCCTCAGATTTGTTAAAAACACTGTCTGCCGGAAGTTTCTTCCCCTTCACAGAATGAGGCTGACCAGGACTATTGGAAGCACTGCATTTAAGACTTAGTGCTGTTTTTGGTCTCTGCTCTTCAGGTTGTTGTTGGTCTGGAGAATTTTCATGAGGAATAATAATACCACAGGGAGACTCCTCCCCAAGAGCGTTGGGGGTTGCATTGCCACTGGCAGAGGACACAGATGGGGCAGAGCCGATGGCCTCCGAGTTGGTTTGAGACAGGCCTTTGCTCTGGCTCTTCCTCTTCCGTGGGTTCCTCTCATTTTTCTTCTTTTTCTTGCTATTATTCTTCCTCATCCTCTGGTTCTGGTTCTTGCTTTACATGTACTTGTCCACGTCCTCTCAGCCTCTGTTCCAGCCTCTGGAGCTCTGCATCTGGATCCAGAAGTGCTACCTGATCGCTAGTGCTTCCTTCTCTCTCCTCGGTCCCGTTCGTCGGCTTCCATTTCCTTTTCCCTGTCGTGCCCCCTCTGCTGAAGAACACTTCCTCTGTGATATTTGGGGTCATCTATATCGTCATAATCTTCTAAGAATTCTTTTTTTTAAGATTTTATTTATTTGACAGAGAGACACAGCGAGAGAGGGAACACAAGCAGGGGGAGTGGGAGAGGGAGAAGCAGGCCTCCCGAGCAGGGAGCCCGATGCGGGGCCTCGATCCCAGGACCCTGGGACCATGACCCGAGCAGAAGGCAGACGCTTAACGACTGAGCCACCCAGGCGCCCCTTCTAAGAATTCTTTTAGTCCTTTAGCTTCTTTTGCCATTTCTCTTCTCTCTCCTCTTTCAGCCTCTTTCTCGTACTCCCAGGTTTCCTTCCGGTCTCTGCTTTCCCAGTTCTGCAGGCGTTCTTGGTAAGAAGCTTCTTTCTCTCAGAGTTTTCGTTCAGGTTTTCTTTGTTCATCTGCATCTTCTTCATCCTCTTCATGGTCCCACTGCTCGTCTTCTCTGTCCCCCATTCCCATTCTTTCTCGTCCTCGTTGCCCTTCAGGATCTCGCTCTTGCCTCTCGGTCAGCTGCCGTCCTTACTCCGCTCTGAGCTCCCTTCCCAATCGCAGTCATGGTCCCTGTCCCATCGTCCTTCTTGCTCCCATTCCTTCTTTCGTTCACGCTCTCTCCCTTTCCCATTCCCATTCTCACCTTTCTTGTTCCCGTTTATATCCCTTCTCTCTTCCTGTCTGTCCTTTATCAATATCCTGTCTCTTTTTCCATTTCCTTGTTGCCTTTCTCCCAGTTTCTTGTATGTGTCTCTGAATTTCCCGATTTCTCAGGATATCAGGTCTCTTTTGTCTTCCTTCTATTTCTATAGCGATGATATCCTCCTTAGTGGTAAGTGGGTAATTGATCAGTGGAGGCACTGGAAGTGTGTGGAAACTGTCCTCCTTTTCTTCTTCTTCCTGGGGTGAGAGTCAGATTCTTGAGAGGGGGCCATTGAGTTCACTGGGATTTAATATATTTATTTGGGTTTGTGGCAATATTTTGTGCCCTATTTTAAAAGGTTGCTAGGATATATGGATATATAGATATATATGCAGTTGATAATTAAATTTGTTTTCAGACTTTCCCCAAATGCCTTGAGATAATAGGTGACAATATGAAATGTTACCAAATCAGAGTTCAGTCATGTCCCTTGGATAGTTCCTTAACTTTTTGGGCTTCATTTGCCTCATTTGTATGAATGGTGATATCTCTTTTATAAGCTCGTGTAAGGATTACATTATATGAAAAGTGACTAGCATAGTGTTTAGTTCACAATAAATGCTTAATAAATGTTCTCATTCTTCTTCCTTCTGAAAATAATACCGTCTAAATCAAATAATGCAGCATGTTTAGTACAACAAAGCATTTGACCACATGTTTATTTTTTCATTCCCTAAACATTACTTATGAGGAAAGCAGCTATGCTCTCATTTTTATTTTATAACTAGTAAATGTAAACATGGCCAGCTTTATTTTTATATAACTTGAAACTAAAGTTTTCAAAAACTGAAAAGAAGACAAAAAAACCACTCATCCTAGCCTCTTCTTCCTGTCTGGTTTAAACCTATTTGATGGGGCGCCTGGGTGGCTCAGTCGTTAAGCATCTGCCTTCAGCTCAGGTCATGACCCCAGGGTCCTGGGATCGAGCCTGGCATCAGGCTCCCTGCTCAGCGGGAAGCCTGCTTCTCCCTCTCCCACTCCCCCTGCTTGTGTT